TTTCTACGTATATCAGAGGGAAATTACCATGTGCAGTGACAGGCTAGGTTTCCTGTCCAAAGCATTCTGTGTTGCTCTGTATAGAACATGCAAAGCTGTGCCTTGATATCTACATCCTACAGCATCACTTATACTAATGAATCCCTGGTTTAAAGTGTAATATTGTTTTGGAAGATGTCGAAATCGCAGCACACAGTCTCCTCATGCGGTTGGCTCTGCTGTAAGTTCCCCATTTTTGCTCTGATTATGTAATACAAGACAGCACGGACTAATTACGGTTTGGTTAACAGCAAACATATTTCTAAAGAGAAAGGATGCCTGTTGATTTGTTGGGTGCCCGGACTGGAAGGTCCATGTTCTGCAGGCACTCGTGCAACTGAGTGTACACACACACATGGGCGTTTAAATGACTGTGTAAGGAAGTGTGTGCACGTGCATGTCCGTGTATATGGTGGCGGTGGCATTTGTGTGTATGTGGAGATGGGTGTCCGCAGCACCTCAGTGGAAAGTTGGCCATGAGCCAGCTGCTGCCCATGAGGGCCGGTAAACACACTGCGATGGATCTCCGTCTCTGCACTCAAGTGCCAAACAGAATGTAAACTTGTTTCCATCACTCTATTCAGTTGCCCGCTCTTCTTTTTTCCTTCCCTTCCTTAAACTTTCAACTCTGAAACATGCTGCATAACTCGATGCATAATATTGAAAAAAGTTACTTTTCATAGCTGTACTCCTTTTTTTGTGTTACTACAATTTCTGCCAAAGTGTGATCAAACAGGAACCTGCTGTTGATGTATAATTATATACAAGAGATTACTGAAACCTGTTGGCAACCTGAATTGTTGTAAGTGTAAATCAAGTGTGAAATATGGCATCAGTTCATCTTCAAATCAGATATAGGGAGAGTATCGAAGCTTCAGGATGAAGTGGTTCAATGGTAAAGATCTCTGCAGGAAACCGGCCTGTGGACATTCATGGTTCCAGATTGTGCATCTGATCTGTCAGCGGCAGCCCCAGAGGCCGGAGCAGGTCTGAGCGAGGTCACATCTGACAACTGCCCCCCATGCAACATCAAAACCAGATGTCTGATGAATTGCTCCTCATAAAAGATTCCTCTTTTACAATGGACCGTGGCATTGCCAAATAGGGTAAGACGGTTACGTGTGCATTCCCCAGTCGTTAAAATTCCTCCGGGTAATTCAGAATGGCCTCTCGATGTGCTTGTGGAGACAATCGAAAGCAAATTTCCTGACGAGTTTCCCCCAACACGCTGGGTGTAGTGAAGGATACGCTACATCTGAAGACTGTAGTGATTCATCTTCATCTGCCACAAACTACATCTGAACCGGAATGTGAGGGTTTTCAGAAGAGAAAGATGTCAGTTTATGAAGAGTTTCATTCTTCCTGGCCATTGACAGTTCGCTGGAAAGCAAGTCCAGCTGTTGGCTTTCACTTTTGATAACACAGGTGTTGTTCCAGCGATTCCACATCTGGCGCAACTGTGCCTTTACTCTGATTTTCCAGCCTCTAAGATAATCAAATTCATTTTCTTTTTCATTACCACACACAGATATAGTTATTTGAACAACCTTTTACCCCCTCTGTTAATGGTTTTGGCTCTACGGTGTAAAAGAGGACCAACATTGTTTCTTACTAGTTGAATGGATGCTTGCAAAATCCCTGTTTTCAGGCTGACTTCAACTCGCCTCTCTTTTGTCTTGCTCTTATCTTCAGTTTGTGAAGAGGGAATGTTTCTGCTCCTGTCATCCATGAGAGCAACCATTCAGATAAAGCAACATTGTTTCAACTCTACCAGAGAAAAAGTTGCCTGATAAGGTGGAAAAAAATGTTGTCGCAAAAAAATCTGGTTGTGCCTGGAGCCTGCAAGCTGCACTGAAAGGGCTGTCTGGCACAGAGCGAACATGTGCTGAGAGGTGATCGACAGGACCTGGCCTCCTCCTGCTCCTATCGCTCCCTGTTAGCGCTTCTTCTCCTCCCCTGCTTCTCGCTAATCAGAGCTGACAGGGGATACATAGGGCCCCGTATATGCCAATGGACAGAAAGAGTCGTGCTGACCCGTCTCAGTCTGTTGGAATGAGCACAGGTAGGGGAGAGGGTTGAGGGTGGAAAAAAACAGGAGGGACACTGGACTGTAAATGCAAGAGCATGGCATGACAGAGACAGCTTGTCTAAAAGACAGCGTTCTGTCTTCATTTAAATGCTGTGAGAAGACCAGATGTTGAAAAGTTTCAGGGTAAAAAAGTGTATGTGTGCAAGAAACAGACAAATAAAACCGCCACACGCACGGCAGCTTCTTTGTTTGTGTGGCAATAAACACGAGCGAGGTTACATGTGCATGCTCTGCTGTGGCTGTTCCATTTGCATATGTTGCATATATTCACTTTATGCGAAGAGGAGCGATCCCACGAGAGCGTTACGTGGGCATTTGAGGGAGCACACATGTGCCTACTGAGCTGTGAACACATGTACTTATGCACCCAGAAGATCTGCTGTGCTGAAACATTGATGCAAAGCCTCCACTGTGACGCAATATATCATCAGTGACACTTAAAGTGGGATGATGGGATAAATATTTCAATGACCTGGTGGAGCGGGGACATTAGGAGTCAAGCTAGAGGGCAATCTCTGGACTATTCTTGGAATTTCACTGCGAAACATTCCACAAGCAGAGCTCCCATCGCTCTCGTCAGCATCCACACGCTTCTCCTCAATTAAAAATGAATTGATGTCAAGGCGGCGTGGAGCCCTGAGGTTGGCTTGGTAACCCTGCGCAGATACGACAGCAAAACCACAAATCAAAATGTGGCCTCTCATGTGTAACACGGTCTAAACTGTTTGTTGCTAAATACACCACATTGATTCCACTCAGAGAGGAACTCAAAGAAAATTTAGGTCAGCACTATTTTATTTTGTCTGCTGTTTTCTTCTCTTTTTTTTAAACGTACAAATAAGCATTTTTATACATGCAGATAAAATATGTTGCAAAAAAAAAAGTATTACAAATATTTCAAAAGAGAAAATAAAATCCCAGCACAAGTCAGATCTAGTGAGGACAACGCCTGCTGGGCTGGCTGAACAGGATTTGGGGGTTTCACTGCTGCTGCAATCTCTTGCTCCCTGCGTGGAGTAGGAACTCGGGGGTGTGAATGAGCTGAGACTCACGGCTGGTTGGAGAGCTGGTGACAAACACTCCGGATTTGCCCCTCCAAAACGCCCAGCAACAACCCGACAGACACTCACTCAAACAGCTTAAATTCCTCAGCAGCTTTTTATCCTCGAAAGTACCGGGAGATTGGACTGTTTCAGGGAGAAACCGGGAAGTGGCCAAGCAAATGGTTTATGGCTGAAGCTTCTCGGAACGGGACTGATGTTTTACAAAGACTGCTGCTGCTGCTTCTCCTGCACGGACCGGGCCGTGGAGCCACAAAGCAAAAGAGAATGACAGCAGAAGTCAGAGAGACGGCGCGCCACAAAGGAGGGCAAAGCGGGACGTGTGTGTGCAGGGAAGCAGTGCCCTAGATCTGTGAAACAACTGACTTATTCTGTCATCCAAGCTCCTTTTTTTTAATGCTGTTTGGGGCAGCAGTTCCTCATCCCGCACCTGGATAAACAAAGAGAATGCATTCACTGACAGCACATCTCCATGCGTAAATGGAGAGGCATATGTGCGTATTCGCCGCGCTTTTTCATTGTGCTTACAATAAATGATGTTTGTTCTGTCACTAACTCATGTCCTGTCCCACGACCACACAGCTATAGATGCATTATAGACTTCCTCATACTTCATATCTGCCATGAGTGATGGCGATGCCTGCAGAAGCTTACAGCACCGGTGCGCAGAGTAGCACTCATGAAAAAAGCTTCAGCGCACCGGATCGCAATGGTTATGTGAAAACATGTGTCATCCCACTGTGCCGTGACCGGGACTATGAGTCGTGGGTGAGGCTAATGTTCACAAAAATATGGAGTTCCCAGAGACTCCGGAGCGCGGTGTGTGTGGGGTCGCTTTCGGTTTTTCTCGCTCTGTTGGTCAAATGTGCAGACTGGAAGGCTGAAGGCAGCAGCAGCAGCGCTGACAACACACTCTCGCATTCATCGTCTCCCCTTCACTTGGTTTCGAGCTGCTCGGCGGAGCTGTTGCAAACTTGCTGGAGTGTGGTTTCGCCATTGTTCACCCTTGTATGTGCCTTCTTTTGGGTCGGTGTGTACTTAATCCGCTGCGGGGTTCTAATCCAGACCGCCCTCTCCCTCCTAACCTTGTGCCACCTGGGCGAAGTCGCGGCGTGCTCGCTTCTGGACGGGACAGATGAGCGGCTGCTTTCGTTCACCACAGCGGCCGTGGTTGTGCTCATCTGCGTGGCCACCGGCGCACTCATGGTAGCGCGGCTGAATCAGGGCATATCGGTGATAGTTTTCATCAGCGTGGTCAGGACTATCTCGCTCTTCTCGCTGCACAAAGTGCGGGCCACTTGGAGACCGTACGTAGCGTACCTGGTTGGAGTGCTGGGCATCCTGCTGGCGAGGTATGCTGACAAGCTCCTTCCCAACCAAGGGAGACACAAGGAGGGCTGCACCCCCGTGACTGGAGCCAGGGAAGAGATCCCTGTATTTAAAAGGCGCAGGAGGTCCAGTTCTGTGATAGCCTCAGACATGGCACACAGTCAGTCCAACAGTAAGTCACATCGCCGGACCTCTCTGCCATGCATCCAGAGGGACCAGGTAAGAAGTTTCTGTCCCGTTCAACTTTTCTATTTCTGCCTTGTTTTCTTCTTCTTCCCATGACGAATTTTGGGTTTTGTGGCTAAGGGAGGAAAGGAGGGAAGCAGTGCAGTGGCAATAAAATGAAGACTGTGGGCCTTTTATGAGTCTGATTATAATTTTCAATATTATTTTATTATTACTGTGGACGGTGAGGAAGTCATGTAGTGCTGAGGGTCCACATTTTAAAAAAGAAAGTCACCTATGTCCCAACACAACAACAATAACACCAGAAAGAATAATAATCATATATCTATTATTATTATTATTATTATTATTATTATTATTATTATTATTATTATTATTATTATTATGTGTTTACATGTTGTACAGTGCAGTGTGGATATTACAGTTTGATCTGATCTGCACAATTCATGTTCTTACTGGTATCTTGTCATGTTCTGGTTCAGCCAGTTGCAGCCATTTCCAGGCGAAAATGTAATTATATTAATTATTTTTTTCCTATGTCACCACCACAGTGACATTGATTAAATAATTACTGATTTGAATGAACTCATTTTAAATTTAAAATAAAATAAAATGATATAAAATAATACAATATTTGACAAAAACAATCAATTAAGCCACATCTCCTTTAAAAATGTTGCCCATTTCAGACTAAGGTGATGCTTGTGGAGGAAAAAAAAAACACCCCACACACAGGCCCATGGTTTAATGTCAAGTTCTGCGTTGTCATTTGAAAATAAAGCACCAAACTTGGCATGTTCCAACTTAAGGAAGGCTATTTTTGATACAGGGCTTTCAAGTGCTTGTGAGAAAGGCAAACTGAGGACACAATGTCAGTGATTCATGTCATCCCTAATTATTTATGTCAAATATTTTCCCCAGATGATCCCTGAGCCACTGCTTTTTTTTTTTTCTGCCCTGGACTTAAATGCCACTTGCTTCTCATCACTTATCGAGGCTCGCTGTCCTTAAACCTCAGGAATGTAGTAGCACTGGCTTTTTCAACCTCCTCCGATACTGATACACATGCATACCTGTGTTAAAGGGAGATGGGGGGGCTTCGCTCAAACAGGCTCATGTCAGCTCCTCAGCCCCTTCTCATGGAAAATCAATGAGCACGCCGAGCATGTGGATGGGAAACAGACTTTTGGAGCGATCAAAGCTCTCGCTGTGACCTGCGAGTGCGGTTGGGTTGGGAGATGAGAGGCTGCCCTGTCGCCCCGGCCACTTGAAAGATGCCCATCATCTCTCAGGGCTAGTTAGCGTTGTAGTGTGTTTGTTTGTTTTTCTTTGTGGTCACATGTGCGCACATTTGGTACACAAATCGGATATGAAAAGACTCTCAGATATTTTACAGTTTACACTTTCCTTTTTTTTCTGATTTAGGTTTGATGTCGAAGCTTATTCAAGTGTCGATCTTTATTAATTCGACATGCAGCAGTTGCTTTGCTGCGCTGATGGAGTGAAGATGAATCTCTGTTTTTGAATGAGTGCTGAGCTGGAAAATAGCGGGCTGTTTAGTTAACATTAAATAGTTGCTGTGTGGCTGTGAACAGGCGTGTGAAAAAAAAGCAGGTTATTTTACACTCTGCTGTGCTTTCAAGAGAAATCCTGCAAATGATGGAAAAGTCTTGCTATAGACCTTTTCCATCTATGTTGGTATATTTTCTAGCTATATTGCTAACTATATAAATAAACTAATTCATTCGCGATATGTTCGTTATATCTTTTCGTTGTTGCATTCAAAATGAACGTATACCTGCCACGTGTAGCCGCTTCATCAACGCTTCATCTTCCATTAAAAATAGAAGGAAAACTGAATATAGGTGAAAGTTTAACATTCTTATTTTTTTCACGTCACACAGCAGCAGCATCAGTATCACAGACCCTAGAAAGCTAAACTGTAATAAAGTCACAGTCAATGTACTGTTGCAAAGACACCAAATGTGTCAAACAAAAGAGGATGGATACCATTATGTTTGGATTCAGACTCCATTACTTTAAGGGATTCAAGATGGAGTTACTTAGCGAACAATAAAAAACAGCACTAAAATCAAGACATTAGTTGTAAACAGCTCTCATAGATGCAACTGTGGCAATTAACACGCCTTGGTCTGCTTTAGATTTTGTTTTTTTCTTGCAGCAGTGTCCCAATAAAAACCGAGCAGGATGGAACCGCCAGACAAACACAGTCGACTATCATGCGACAGCGCAGACGTTTCCAGCATCTGTGACTCTCCTCTGCTCTGTCACCTCGGCCAGGCTGGAGCCCTCTGCTGAAAGATGATCTCAATTACAAGTTTTTTTGTTGTGGGACATGAAGACAGCAGTGCTCAGGCTGCACCAATTGCACTAATATGGAAAAGTTAAGAATATGTTAGAGTTTCTGTGACAAAACCCGAGTGGTTCCCCGTCATGTGTGATGGTGCTGCTAAGCAGTTGACCAGTCGTGGCCTGCCTGTAATTGAGACACACATGGCGTGCACATGCTGTCTTAACCGTGTCTTGTCTGTGTGGTCTGTAATGTGTAAACAAGCCCATGCTGATCCACACCAGTCATCACCTCACTCACACTGCGCTCTGGCCTCCCCAAGGGGGGTCAGACACACTTTTGGGGGCCACAATGCAACCGCCACATGGTGATGGGAACAGGAGAGATGTCCAACTTTAAGAAGTGTCCTACCGACTCTGCCTGGATGTAAAAATACAGGTTTGCTGGCCAACGGCAGCGGGGCTATAATTTTCTAGCAGCTTGTTTGTTAGATCACCTAAGAGGTTGGTTGATGTTTTAACAGTTCGCCCTTTCGCTGTGTTTAATGGAGTTATGATGTTTTAAAGAAGCGGCATGAAAAGGAGAAGATCTGCACTTTGTTGACCCGATGATGTTTATATTACTGCTGTGCATCTGAAGTGTTTGAAGGATAGGCTGAGGCTAAATGGAGGCTTCCATTTGGTACTTAACTTTGTTTTTCTCGGGAAGCTTCTCCCATAGACCTTAGAGTTTTATTTTTTTTTAAAAAGGCCCTTCAGATTGATAGTTACTGTGTAAAAACAGTTTATTCCAAAAATAAATAGAGCAAAGAGGAATCTCTCTGCCTCTTCTTCAGAAGTCTTAAAGCTGACATGTTGCCCTCCACCACTCTGCCAAAGCCATGCTCCGAGGCTGCGCTTAAGTCTGCACAACTGTAGATTTAATAAACAGTCATTTTCCCGTCCTTTGATTACAAATTGGCTGCCAGCATCCATCAGCTCACTAAATAGGTGCATTTTGCAATGCTGGGGTTGTCCTCCCATCATGGGTGTAATAAAAGAAAGTCATTATCAGCTGATTTGATAGCGGTTAGCGGTAGCCTCTGTGGGATAGTTCTTTTTCTTGGGTTAATACAAAATGACAAGCCAGTCTTCTGTATTCCAGCTGGGGGATATTGAACTGGAGGACGAGGTGTGGACTTGTGGTGTGGATCGCTTTTCACAGCATGTAAGGAAATTTGAGTCCGAGGCTCTCCTGCTGCAGACATCAGCGCTGTCACCGAACTTTCTCTTGCAGAGTGAAGGAGTCTGCTGTATTTCCAGCACACATTGGATGTTTTTTAACTACCTGGGCTGCAAAGTTTGAGCAGAACTGATTAGGCAGTGAGTGGGAGTGAACTGCTTTTTAGACGACTCTCTTTATGAGGTACTGGAAGCCACTCCCTTTTCTCTCAGTAACTCCACCCCTCTCGCAGCACTCTGTCCTCTCACTGACACCAACACAAATATTATCCCAACCAGAGGAGGAAATTCTTTCTTAACTTGGATGATAAAGATATTCTTAAAATCTATTATAATGACTTCCTGTGGAAAGGGATCCAAACACAATTACTGTTGTAAATGTTTCTTGTTGCTCTATTTTTGCTGTACCGTGTGTAATTGAATTGTGTTTGGGATGGAGGAGGTTGGTGATAGCCTGTGGGCCAGTGATTTACCAAAGCACACTCTCATCCCAAACAGCTTGTTTGTATTCTAAACACATAGCCTCATGGGATATGATGTTTTTATGCTTTTGCTATTTTTTGTGTGTGTGACTGGACTGCCCTCTGGGTTAGAAACAGTCTCATTGAAAGCCTCCCCGTGCACTTGGAAAGGAAGCTGATATCAGCATGGGCCTCTGTGTGTCTTGTGATTGGGCGATCCACTTCACACTTTCAATCCCCATTCAGTCCCAGTGTATTAGCTGCGCTGTGCGTGTGTGAGGAGGAGGCAAGGGGTGGAGAAATTGGGGTAGGAATGAAAGTAGGTCATTCGAGGTTTTGCTTAGTAGCCAGGCAAAACAGCAGGCTTACTCTTACCCCCCTGAATGGAGGAAGAGTCTGGCATTTGACGGATGCGGCGCAGCAACTTTTTAGCGAGCAAACTGCTCAGGATGTGTAGGTGTTAGCTCAGCCATGTTGGCTGCACAGCACGAAGCCACGTCACTCTGGGGTTAGGGTCTATGTTGTAATGGTCAGTTTCCAGGTGTTTAAAGGTTCAGTTGAACTTACAGCAACCAGACTCTTGTTTTCATAATTTTCATAATTTTGACTTTCATTTCAATCAGTTAGAATAACATTGTGACAACATTACTGCAAAGTCCAGCTGGCCAAGAAATGAGACAATCGTTTCAGTTTGTTTACATGTGCAAGACTAAAAATGAAGCCAAAAATGTAGCCAGATTATCTAAAGCACTTCATTTCAGGTTAAAACCTAAAGTCAGTGCACCTCAGAAGCTGGTAATAATCCGTCACTGCACAGAAAACTATGGAACACACACGAGGTCAAAGCTGAGCTTGTAAACTGGGATTAATGTCTACAGTGGACAGTTTGGGTAATAATATTACTGTTTGCCTCTGTCTTCTGTTTAAAAAACTCACCAACCTGGAGCTTTGTTTAAAGGAATACGTGAACATTTTTTCTGATGCAATATGTCTACACAAATATGGACATTTGAAGAGTTCATTTGCAAAAACAGAAAACTT